AGGGACGTGTCATTGACAATGACTTGTTTTTGTCATTTTTGGTGAAAAGTGATATTTTTGAAATCTTGTTGAAAACAGCAAGTCCTGTTGCTTTGATACTAAACATATTGTTCATTTTCTAATGATGTCTTCTGTTCTCTAATTGAAATGTGCATTGCTAACAGCGGAGCTATCTCATCTGACAGGCTGCTTGTTTTGAGAAAGAGATTGACTGCACTCTGAGTGAACATAGTGATTGACATGTACAAGTAATTGTTGCATTGATATGAAAAAAAAAACTGTGTGACTGTGCAGCTGTTGCTTGATAGTCACCTATATAATAGACATGAGTGTCTATGGTTTCACTTGGCCTTTGTCTATGTGACGTAGTTTGTACTAGGGATTCGTGTTTCTGTTTTCAGGAGTATCGTAATCACTAATAAGAGGCCAGTCATTTAAATTCATAGGGGTTGGATGAAAGATTTATTAAATAAATAAATTGCAATCTAGACACTAAGAAAAAACAAACACTGCATGTAAGTAATTGCAGGAACAAAATCATGGCACATTTAAAAAAAATAAAAATGCACAGACATTGCGGAAAAAAAGTCTCGCACTCTTCCATCTCCATGAGTTTAAATGGTTGAGCCCTAAGTGTGTTTTCTTCTTCTAAATTCACTTGTCAGTCAATACATGCTTTTTATAAAGGCAAGATTACTCTTATGTCCAGGTGACTTGGCATGTATGCTTGTACGCTGGAAGAAATGCTGTGCCTATACATGCTTTATTGTAAGCATGACATGTGAATGCAGTGTTGAATAAACTCTGAACTCCTGAAATCACAACGAAAGCAAACATTTTTGGGTCTCTGTTGAAGCATCTACAGCCTATGTTGTTGTAAGCATGAAAGACTTTGTGTATGTGAAAGCAATGGCATCTTAGAAGCTCACGGCATTTATAGTATACTTTGGTTTATAAGATGTGACATATTTTGAGAAACCTCTGTCATTAACTTTAGAGCAAAAATTTTTCCCTGTATACAGGATACATATGTCCCACCACCAGCATGGCATGCTAAGGTAATAGTTCTTTCGTGTGATCATTGATGTATTTTTTTTTTTTAGGGCTAACCATTTTAATGTTTAATGATAAACTTAACAAACTAACAATCTATTACTGTTACTGTTTCATTGCAGAATTTACCCATGAAAATATATGTGAAAAGCAACCAATTGGAAAAGCATTATTCAGGGCTTACTGTGAAACAGATGTGGAACTCAAGAAGTCTATCTCATTTCTGGATAAAGTTGTAAGTCATACTATATCTGAACTATTGTTACGTGTACAGCTGTTTGCTACACTAGGCTCTAGTCTGTATTGTATACTTTTTGCCTACATTCATAAAATTGAAGTTGGGTATTTGATTGAGGGAAACATAATATTGACTGAGAAATTTGCAACAAAGCTTGAATGGCAAAAACACTGAGCAGGTATCTTGCATTAACAAATAAGCAGCAGCATGCATTCTTAAGGATGCCCGGTGGTCAAGGAGAAGATACGTCGTGATGTGGAGCTCTACGATTAGGTGCTGTGTGCAAGCGCCAATTCGAGTCATCCAATACAGTACATGTTTACTTAAATTTGACATAGTATTTACCCTGCCGTTTATTCAGTGTTATTAACTAGCAGTCACCATTACTTTGCATACAACGTTGGAGATGTCAATGATGGTACAGCTGACTAGATTGAAAAACCATTGTAATTGCTGTAAAATAGGATCGAAATGTAAAAAAAAAAAAATTGCATTTACAGTTGTTCTGTTCTGTGTGATCTATTTCTTGGGATTGCTTAAAGGGGCACCTTCCAGTTAAGATTAATTTCACAACAAATTTACTTTCTGGATTAAAATAACAATGGATAACAAAAGATAGATTAACATTGTAAACAACATAAACAATAGTGTCCCATGATTCTTTGGTGCAATCCATGGGATTGAGCGGTTCCCCTTTAAATATTGTGTTTGCCTCTTCATCAAATTGTTGATTTCAAAACATTATGGTCATACTATTTTCTGTATCACTTGCATTATTTGTACTAATTAGAAGAAAAATATTTCCCAATAAAAACAAAACATGAAATTGGATTGCACTTAAATAAAAAAACTTCTACTTTGCTTTTAAAAAAAATCAACTACCTATGCATATCAGTTAAATCTAGGTCAAAAGTTCAAATATGTGTCGGCGACTTTCTCCAAGTCGAGTTATAATAATACTGTCTATGAGCGTTTGTGCAGTTTTCACATAATCACAGGTCATCAATATTTGCTATGTCACATTGCTTTGTTGAAGCATCAGACAACTTGCATTATAATATCATGTATGATTTGAATAAAAACAATCATTTCCAAATAAACTATAGTTATCTAAATGTATGTATTTCTGGAGATTGCGGGAGCTCAACGCCTGGCCAAACCATAGAGGTCTAACTGTTTGAATTTTATTATAGTCACAAAACTGATTTGGACGTACTGCCATTAAAAACAAATAGGAAATCTCTGACAGGACATGATAGACTCCAGAAACTTTGAACCAATTTCATTTAATTTTTTTTTTTCACTGACGTCTGGTAGTTAGTCTTTCTATAAATTAGTTAGTTGTACCTGTTTGTATTTTAACAGGACAAATGCCATTTTTCAGATGACTTATTTAAAAGCTATTTAATGAAATCGACTCTTCAGAACTCCTCAGAGCTTGAAGCGAGATGAGGTAGCTCCTCTGAGCTTCCCAGAAATGGAAACAGCTGTCTTTCTTAGACATGCGTGTCTTGTGGTTGGAAGGCCAGTTGTATATGTTGCTAACACTAATAATATGTGGAAGTTGTGTCAAGTTATACATGTACATTAGTAATACACACAGCTTTTGATTTGAGAATAGTATTTTGTAAAATGATCCTAGCATTGTGTAGTATTGATTAATTATTTAAAGGCTGTCATACCACTAGTTTGATTGCCGAATTATTTCCATCAAAAGTTGAAACTCAAATCTCGTCTTATAATAAACTATCATATTTGTTCGATACCACGTCCTGGACGATCTTTTGGGAAATATTTTAATATTTTTTGGTGAGTGCTGGCTTCCAAACCTCTTGGGCGATTTTTTGGAGTGTTTTTCCAGAAAGCTACATTCCATCAAAACATAATCACTATACAGTTAATTTGGTGAGGAGATAAAATACATTTTTCTGTTATCATTATGAAAGCTGTTAAAACAATTTCATTACTCGTTTTACTTTTTGAAAAGTGCTATTCATCTCTAATAAAACGTTTCGCGGCAAAATCAATGTCAAAAGAACCTACTTCAATTTCTGTAATAATGAAAATTACTGCAAAGCATTCTTTGTGATGACCAATATTCTAAAAGATGCCTCAACCTGTAGATAGCACCTCACAGTATTCTGATTTGTTAATGACATTAATCTCAGGTCAAATGACATCATGGAAAGTCAACTCCACCCAAGAAATAATGGCAGATCTCAGCTTTGTCTAGAATCAGCGTTCTAAAATATAAAACTAGGTAGAAGTTTACATATATTTCATAGCAAACCAAAGGAATAAGATTTTATGTATTGAACCATGACTAATAAACAACCACGAAAAAATAAGTTTTTACTGTACATGTATGTACGTATTCAGCCCAGATGGCCGTTTGCGTCACCACATATTGTTCCTTAATGGTGTTTGTTCTCGTTAATTAAAGACTAAATTAGTGTTGAACCATAGGACCGAGATGGATAAAATTTCGAAGACCAAGAAAAGCACAATTCTTTGGTCGCTCGAAATTTAAAACCAGTACTTTAAGAAAATCAGCTAAATCAAGTGCTTAAATTTTTGGAGGGGCGAAACTTTTAGCTAATGATTATCGGTACCTATTCATAGGCAAGCTTTTAGTTGGGTGTGGTCATGGACAATTATGATAATGCATTCCTACTAAATAGGATATCATAATTATGTTTTTCTTTTATCAGAGAGCTTATGAGATAGCATCAGATGAAGACCGTGTCTCAACAGGTCAAGAAATCTATGATATGTACCTCAGTCAAGAAGTAAGTCTTTTTCCAAATTTTTTTTTTTTAAATCTCAGATCAAATTTACTTCTTTTTAATTCACTTTGGTTTTCAGGCAGTGGATATTGTGACACGCCCACACAAAAATGTCGTGTTCTGAAAAAAAAAAATCATTATAGCTATTGAATGCCTAAGAGTATTAATTTGTGACATTGTACAAAAGTATTTTGAAGTATAATACTCCTTGGGTTTTAGAAATATCTTTTCATAGATATAGCTTTCTATTGTGTATTGTTAGTTTTGCACACACAACTTGTCCAGATGTGGTTGATGGAAGTTTTAACAAATTGACTCACAGTGATTGTTTGAATAAAAATGATTCCCTCTCTGAACCATAACAATTGAGCTGTTCCAAACACATGGTTGTCACAATGATAGAGATTTTGACTGATGGCTGATGTAATTACATGTTGCTATTATTGGACAAATTTTCCTTCGATGTAAACATTTTACTGAAATGAAGTTTTTCTAAGGAATCTTCTCTGTTAGATTATATTATCCAGTATGAAATATGAAGGCTACATAGCTACGAATTTGATTCCGTCTGCTAGAATTTTATTTAATAAAAAAAATAATTACATTCATATCAGTGCCATAGCAACCTTAGATTAATTAAAAAATTATTTTGTCTTCTTTTTTTTAAGTTGACACCCAGCCACTATAATTCATTTTAAGCTGAATACTGATGAAATAGTGTTTTTTATTTTTCAGTAGATTGAATTTTCAATGATTTCTCTATTAAGTGAAAAGATTGAAAATAAATATATATTTAATAAATGTTGTCTTGGCTTCTGAGATGCTAATAACATTGAGAATTTTTTCTTTTACTTGACATCATTTTCACATTTCATATATCAATAATACAACTATAATTATATATAGCTATAATTATATGTCAGCTGTGTCAATTCACATCTGAGAACAAATATTTGCCCGTTTTTAAACTTCTATTGATTCCTATTAAAAAGTTCCAGAAGCGTGGATGACTGGATTGTTTCTAGCAGCGAATGATTAGATGGTGTATTTGTTTATCACTCATATTGTACATTTTTAATCTTGCATGCTTTGATAAGGCCAAAAAAAATCCCCCCTTCATTGGTTGAAAACTGTGCTCTCACTCACTTTTCTCATAAACGATGAAGTGCACCACATACGATAGAATGGTGAAATGTTTATTTTTCTTTTTCAGCGAATGGTTTGTTAATCCAAATTATCCTTAAAGCGGGAGGGTCGTCACCTGCGTACGCACAGGAATTGAGTCCCAAGCGACGATAACAACACACACTAAAAACGCAAAGTGTCATGGGTAGATGCATGTTTGTAAACAATGACACGCTATGGCCACCTGACGCATGTGCGGATGACGACTCCCCCCTTTAATAAATGAATTCAAAAGAATTACATACATCATTTAGAATTCCTCTTGGGATGAGAAGCAAATCCTCTTTTTTTGGCCTAAATAAGAATTTAAATGTGACTAATAGTTGAAATAAAGAAAAAAAACAAAAAACAAAAACTGCAAATATCTTGATGTATTTCTCAGTGAATGAAAAGTTACATCATAATAAGCCGAAAAGAACAAATAATGAGAATGGAGTACTGGAACTAGTTTCCAAAGAAACAATAACTTTGGGATTCCCTATAATATTAAATACTACTCTGGCGGCCATTTTGAAATACAAATAATTCAAGTATTTTTATTTGGGTTTTCAAATTGGCAGTCACAAGAAATAACTTCTCTTTATATTTTACTTACAATATCATTTAACAGCTGAATTGCCTTGACATTTGTGATGTGCACACATAATTTATTTAATTTCATGAAGATACCAGCAATTTTCAGCAAGTGTATAAAATAAAATAATTCTAATTATGACTTTTCTTCGAAAATTTCTCATTGGATTATTTTGATTTGCTTTGATGCCAGTTTGTTGATGCCATGGATGTTCCTCTATCTGATTTGTTCTCCTGCCCAGTTTAAGTCTGTCACCATATTGGATTGTTAGTCCTTTTCCTGCCAAAATGGTGGCTAGTATTTTCCCTCCAAGTTTTAAATATAGTGCTGTATTATTTAAGAACTTTTATTCTATAAGGGACACTGAGATTAATACAGTACAAGTAGTATTAATTGAAAAAACATGAATGATTATTATTATTTTATATGCAAACACTTGTTCATTGTTGGTTACAAATAATACCACATTTACATTACGCTATGTTTGCCCTGTATGTGCATTTTTTTGTATTTTCTTTTGTTTTCACAATTAGCAGTTATGTTTATTTTTAAGGCCATGATCGTTTTATTTCCATCAGTTATATAGGCAACAAATGATCATTTGTTAGACTTAGAAACTCGTGTTGTGAATTAATTTACACTGTTGATCATGAGACCCCAAAAATTGGCCTGTATTTTTCCTCCCAAAAATGCTCATGATAAAAAAATAAAAGCATCTTGAAATGGTAAATTTAAAATTCTCAATTGTTCAAAAAAAATAAAAATAAATGGGTGCATCTTCTATTAGGGATTAGGCTACTAATAGTTTTTGGTATGCTTTACTTATAGTAAGCTGCAGACGCCTTCTTGGGAAACCCCTGCGAAATGTATCATTATTCATATTTTAACTATTCAGGATACAGTAAATGTAACTGTAGGTGCGTGTGGTCTTCTAGAGCGAAAACGAAATGATGTTAATATGAATTTGGTTTATATTTTACAGTCACCAACAGTCGTCAAATATATAAGTACAGAGACGATAGCAGCATGTAAAGAAAATTTGTCGTCTGAAACCAACAACAACAAAGAACTTTTCAGTGACTGTGCATCGTAAGTCATCACTTTGTTGTTGTCATGACAACAATCCACTGGGTGGTCAAATCTTGCATCTCTCCATCTCTGTTTCTTATCAGATCTGTGTATTGCCTCAGTGATTGTGAATGTCAACATGATGAACGCTTGCATTTATTCAGAAAATTTGATTTGTTTTACAGTATCAGTGGAGACTAGACACAAGACTAACTCATGTACATTGCACGGTTGGAAAATGTGACAATTTGGCGAAATAAAAACATTAGAGATAGAAATAACTGTAGAAAATGAAAAAATCCAAAAGTTTTTTACCTGACAAAAATTAGGACCTGTATTTTCTAGGCAAAATTTTGCTAGATATATTACTAATACTATTTGACAACTTTTATCCAATTCATTCATTCAGGGCTTGAAATCAAATTTTCTTGAAAGATGACTGGGTTTTCTTTTTTAAAATTTGGTAGACATACAGTGAGTGATATTTGGTAGTCATGCAAGCAAATGTAATTTTGAAGACAAAATTAGGTAAAATCAAATTGTAATTTCTTTGTTAAATTTCTATATTAGTCCAGTTGGGTTACTTTTTCAAAATTAGTTGCTAATGGTATCTCTCGTACTGTAAAATCTGTATTAGAAACTGTTGCTTCTATTAAAATGGTTGAATGCAACAGAGGGGATGCAACAGAGGCTTCTAATATAGATTTTATGGTATCGACAGTTAGTAGTCTGTGCACACCATGGGCTGCTGTTAGTTTTGCGCCCTGACTGGTCCATAAACCAGTCCAGTTTGTATCAATCTAGAGTTCCTGTTTGTTATATAGCTGGTAAGGTTGTAATAGTTATGCTACCTATGTTTCTATCTGGCAATTAGACTTAATTTTAAATGCTTACATTTCTTGATCAACAAGTTTTAAAAATAAATGAAGGACGTTTATTTGGTGATAATAAATAAGTGGGTTTAATTTTTGTGAAAAGTTGACAAAAATTTACTTTAGTGTTCAATGAGTAATACTAGTATGCAATAATGGTGCTCAACTTCAGGAGTGTAACTGTAGTTGTTCTTCCAGTTTATTTATTTTCTCTATTTTCTGTTTTTTCACCTTTCTAGAGAAGTTAAAGCTTATCTCAGTGAACAGCCTTTCAAAGATTTTCAAGATAGTATGTATTTTTCTAGATATTTACAGTGGAAATGGCTGGAAAAGTAAGTACATGTTTGTAGTGTACCTCCCAAAGTGTAATTGAATCAGTTTATTTTGTTGATTAAATCCGGAGTTTTGGAGGTTTTGGAATTGTTTATTTATAAATATAATTCATTCATAATTATAATTCATTATAATTCATGAGTTGCGTTTTTTTGCTAATTTTGTATTTTTTCTCTCTAATATCGAACCGAAAAATGTTTTTGTTGTTGTTTTACCAATTATAATCATATGGATATAAAGGCTATGCACTTGTAAACTAAATTGTTGGAAGACATCATTTACTATTTGTAATTAATTATCATATATATAGACTGAGTGACCTGACACATAACCATGTGCTTACTTACACATATGGTGCATTAATATTTTATATTTATTTACATGAATTAAAAAAAATGCACACGCACATCTTCTTGACCCTTTAATTACGCCAGTGTTTTGTTTAATGTTTTGAAACCATTAATTATTATAACTATACAGATATATGCTAATTTTAGGCAATATTTTATATTTAAACAATTTGCAATTAGTGATATTTTAATAATTCAGTGTAATTTATCATAGTACATATGTATGTTATATTGCACTCCCACACCAAACCTTTAGTAGGTACATGATCCGTTTGCATGACCATATGGTTGCATTGTTTATCATATTTCTATATAGTCTCGTTAAGAATTACATGGTATTTTGTTGTCATTTTTACAGTCAGCCAGTTACCAAAAATACCTTTAGGCAATACCGGGTGCTGGGAAAGGGTGGTTTCGGTGAGGTGAGTTGTAATATTATATTGATTTATTTGTTTGTTTCAGTCCATTGTGACAGGATTTACAATAATTTACATTCGGTAGCTGTTACCATTAATATTGAATATGTACTGAATGCCATATAACTTCAAATACTACTGAATACTCTTTTTACTGAATACTGAATTTATGTTAAACACTACTTCACTAATGCCTAGGTACAATGCTAGTAATATCTCATTAACCGTGAATACCTAGATCTACTGAATAATATTATGTACCATAAAGAAATAGTCTTAACCTCAAATTATATGGTGTTTCAGTCTCTGCACTGTTATTCTAATGCCTAGGTACAATGCTAGTAATATCTCATTAACCGTGAATACCTAGAACTACTGAGTAATATACTAGTATACCGTTAAGAAATAGTCTTAACCTCAAATTTATATGGTGTTGCAGTCTCTGCACTGTTATACTAATGCCTAGGTACAATGCTAGTAATATCTCATTAACCGTGAATACCTAAAACTACTGAGTAATAT